ACCTTATAAGGTCCTCCGTATGGTTGAGCAATGATCTTTTATTAATAACACGCATAAAAACAAATTTACAAGTCTCCAAATCCTTTGGTATATATACACCAGTATCAGAATTTTGATTATGCCTTAAATTTGATTTAACATTTTTAAAATGTTCCCGTAAATTACCTAAAACTTCAATTGGGGAACATTTTTCTTCAGATGGAACAACAAGTTCACCGGGTAGGCGTAAATTTTGCCCAAAAATCTTCTCAGATGATGTGGCTGAAATACTTTCTTTATACATCGATCGTAAACCAAGAAGTATTATCGGCAGCTCATAATACCAATTGTTGATTCCATTTCTAGCCATAATCGTAGCTTTTAACTGCCTGTGAAACCGTTCTACCATACCATTCCCTTGAGGATGATATGCAGAAGTTGTAACGTGATGACTACCAAGCAATTTTGTTAGTTCCGAAAACAATTTTGACATAAACTGGGTACCCTGATCTGTAGTGATTTTTAACGGTACCCCAAAACGTGAAACATATTCTCTAAAAAATTTATTTGCAACCACTGCCGCTGAAATGTCCTTTAATGCATATGCCTCGGGCCAACGCGTGAACCTGTCAACTATTGTAAAAATGTAACGATGTCCTTTCGATACAGGAAGAGGTCCAACAATATCTAAATGAATATGATCAAATCTACTTTTGGGAATCGAAATTTTAATTACTGGAGATTTTGTTAGACGATTAACCTTCGATTTTTGACAATTTATACATTCTTTTGACCAAATATTAATTTCTTTGTGCATTTTTGGCCAATAGTACTTTTTAATAATTAGACGACGTGTAGCTTTTGTACCAGGATGTGTAATGCCATGTAGCATATTAAACACTGTCTTGCGTAAACAATTTGGAACAAATGGCCTAGGATTCTCACCTGTCATTTCACACCAAATATTAAAATTTAAAAGTGGAATTTGAATTAATTTAAGGTTATGTGATGTGTCTCCAGATTTTAATGTGTTTAGTTCCTCGTCCTGTTCTTGTTCATTTTGTAAAACTTTGAAATTCAGTTCTGTACCCTTAATTGCATCAACTTCGAAAGCTCTAGATAATGTGTCAGCTATAATGTTCTCCTGTCCTTTAATATATCGTATGTCGTTAGTAAATTGTGCAATGAATTCCATATGTCTAGTTTGTCTCGGACTACGTTCTGTTTTTGAACTCAAAGCATATATCAAAGGCTTGTGATCCGTAAAAACTGTAAATTGTCCTTCTAAAAGATAGCGAAAATGTTTAATGTTCAAATAAATAGCTAGCAACTCCCTGTCAAATGCACTGTACTTAACCTCGGATGGAGAAAGTTTCTTAGAAAAGAAAGCTAGTGGCTCTGATTTGTTATCAAACGTTTGATGTATGACACCACCAATTGCCGTATTAGATGCATCCACATTTAAAGAGAGTTTGGCATCTTTGTTAAAATGATTTAACAATATCGTAGACGCAAACTTTTCTTTAATACATTCAAAGGCTTTATTAGTTGTGTCATCCCAAATTAAGGACTTGTCACGTTTCTTAGTTGTTCGATTGATTAAATCGTAGATAACTGCCGTAAACTCAGCTAATTTTGGTACATATCGATGGTAATAATTAACCATGCCTATAAATTTCTGCGCCTGTTTAATAGATTTAGGACGTTCAAAACTACGAATAGCTATCACTTTTTCATCAGAGGGTCTAATTCCTGCCCCAGAAATATTATGTCCTAAAAAGTCAACACTTGTTACACCGAAAATACATTTACTTGGTTTGATATTTAACCCGTACTCTGTTAGGCGTTGGAAAAGTATACGGAGATCTTTAAAATGCTGTTCTTCATTTTCACTTGCAACCAATAGATCATCAATATATGTAAAAACAAAATCTAAACCACTAACTACTTCATTAATAAATCTTTGAAAAGTTTGCGCTGAATTTCTTAGTCCGAAAGGCATTCGTATAAATTCAAACATACCGAAAGGTGTCGTTATTGCAGTTTTATAGATATCCTCTTCTGCCATTGGAATTTGGTGGTAGGCCCTTACCAAATCTAATTTCGAAAATATATACTTATTTCTGAGATTCATGTTAAAATCTTGAATATGAGGTAAAGGATAACGGTCCGGTACAGTCACAACATTAAGTCTCCGAAAATCACCACAAGGACGCCAGTCATTCAGTTCTTTTTTAGGTACAAGATGCAGTGGAGATGCTACACAAGAATTTGAAGGTCTACAAACCCTGTCCTCACTAAAAAATCGAATTCAGTTTTGGCTACTTTAAATTTAATCGGATCCAAGCGCCTTGGCTTAGAGAATGGCAGATTTCCTTCAGTAAAAAGTCTGTGAACCGTAGAATGTTTAACCGGTTTCGAATAATCTGGTTCAGCGATCAAAGAAGGAAACTCCTTCAACAATCTTGTATACTTGTTCTCTACTACAAAAATTTTTGGAAGCGAGAAATGTTACAAACACATGAAACTGTGTTAACCGAAAGACTTGTTACTGGATCAACTAAACGTTTGCATTTCATGTCAATTAAGAGACCGTATTTGCAAAGAAAATCTGCACCAATAATAGGTTTCGCAATATCAGCTATGAGAAACGTAAATGGGAACTCGCGTCTTAAACCTAAATTTATATTTAAAATCTTTTTACCATACGTTGAAATCGTTGAACCATTGGCTGCAGTAAGTATTATATCTGAAGAACGTTTTGTATGAGGGAATTTTTTTACCGGAAGTATAGAAATTTCTGCTCCACTATCAATCAAAAAATTTAGTTTGTTTGCTTTATCAAAAATAAATAGGCGACGTGTGGTAATATCTAAATTTCCATTGTTTGCCGCCACAACAACGGATGACTCTAGTTTAACGAATTTTTGTTTTTAGAAAAAGCACCAGGCTGTTGACATTTCTGAGCCTTATCACCAAATTTGTAATGGTATATACATAACCAATTTTGACTATCACGAGATTTTGATCTACCTCTATATGGACTTCTAAAACAATTCCTATTATATGATCTATATCTAGAATTTTGATTAATTTGTTGCTTAATAGAATTTAATTCAAAGGAAAGTTTTTGAAAATTTTCGCACATAAGATTCGTCGTTTTAACTAAATTATCAATAATTGTGTCTTGTGATTTAGAATTTTGAAAACTATTCATAGCTGATATTTCGGTTTTATTAATCACTTCCCAAATATTATCAGCTAGTTTCACCAATTCATTTATATCATTGGTACTTGAACTAGCTAATATCACACTAAGATTTTTTGGCAATTTTCTCAGCCAAAGTTTCTTTAAAATATCTTGACTAAAATTGGAACCTGCAAGCAACATGAGCGACCGATAAAATTCAGAGGGTTTACGATAACCCATCTCTGAATCTGACAAAATTTTATCTAATTTCTTTTTTTCGCTTAAAGAATGCCTTTCAATTAAGACTTTCTTTAATTCTGAAAACTTGTTGTTATGCGGAGGATTTTGAATGAAATCTAATATTGTAACTATTACTTCTTGCGGAAGCGCTGTGATTGTGTGTTCATATTTTGTAGTATCTTGTGTAATGTTTTTCATGTACAAACCAAGCTTCTGGACAGCTTGTCCAAAATTGTGGAAGCTTGACTGAGGTTGCATACACCTCATTATTATTTTGACTAGCATAAGGATTTGCCAACTCCTCTTGAAAAGAGTTGTTTTGCAAATCTATAAGCGAGTCATTTAAATTATTAGTCCGTGTAAATGTGTGTGTATCATGTGGGGGTGAACGAAACATTATGATAACATAAAATAATCTCTATAAGGAGTGTTTACAATTTATCCGAAACAAATTAAACAGAAGATATGATATTAAAAATATATTTGTCAAAAATATTACATACAAAGATACAGCTCACCACTGTGCTCTGAAACTGCTGATATTGACTGCACAGTCGAATTGATTGTTACTGCTGCACCAGTTGTGTTGTCGTTGTTGTTGCCACTGTTTATATGCTGGGCTGATAGTTGCGACTTTTTTACTGTTGTTGTTGCTACGGCTTGTTGCCGTTGTTGTTGTGGCCAGTGATAGAAGCCTTGTCGTTGTTGTAGTTGATATTGATGATGCTTCTGGTGCTGATTGTTATCGCTGTTATTATCAGCGGCGTTGTCGACTTTGTCTAAAGTTGCTGTTCCTCGTTTTTTGAGAGTTTTTGTGCTGCTGCTGCTGTTGCTACCGTTGCCACCACTAGCACTGAAATTGGCATGTGGTGCTGCTGATGCTTACGTGGATTCTCCTGCTGCTACTGATGCTACCTCTGTAGGTCTTTTGGAAACCGATACAAATTATAATGAACTCCTGTAACTTTTTTGGATGTGACACGACCAACATAATGGGCGTCTTCAGTGGTAAGTGTCTTTGAGCGAGTTCGTTGTGCAAGCTGTTACTGCTATCGATCCCAATTCGAGACCTGATACAGTTGATGAGGTCGATAATAAGTTAGAATGATAACAGCGCCTCTTAAGTTGTTAACTTAAATTGTTATTTCACAGGCACAATTGTTGTTCGCAAATATCTCCGTAAACTATAATGGCTCAAGCCTCAACTTCTCCTGGCAGGATCGCCAANTGTTTGATTGACGAACCACAAAAATCACATAAATCTAAAATTTCCAAAATTACAAAGTTGAAAAGAACACAGTACAATAAAAGGTAATAACACAAATACAGACCATACAGTGGTCCTATACTAATTTTGTTTAGATCCGATAATTGCATCGTGAAGAAATTAACGATAATCTTAAATTTTTATATGAGGATTGAAGTCGGTTTTGTTTTTTGCTTAAGATTTACTTGTGTTTCTTTTATTTTAATTATTCTATTTTATAAAAATATTTCTGATTTTGTCATTAATTAGTGTTTTTAATTAGATACATTACTTGCTTTTCGATATTTTGTATGCTTAATTTGTAAATCTCTTTAAATTTAAAACATAATGGGGCATATTCATAATCGAATCAAAGACGAAACTAAAAATAACTTCGACTTTTTTGACAAGTATTCCGAATTCATTGATAAAGCTATCCTCAAATCGAAAGGACTCTTTCTTCCTGATTATATTTTAACCTAAACTTACCTATGGTTAAGGAAATTAGCTGGGGAAATACTCTATAAAAAAATTGGCCACTAATGGGTTAAAATATGGTCATCAATGCGTTAAGTCAAATGGATTAAATTATTCATAATTTGCACAATAATAAAATCAAGTTAACTTAACATAAGATGTTATAAAAAACTGGGTCACCAATGGGTTAATGCATGATCAATAATGGGTTAAGGCGTCAAAAATTTACTCTATAAAAGTAGTTCAAGGGAGTGTAATGGAAAGAAAATGATTTCAGAGTTTTGAGTACCCGCTTATATGGTGCGCCAGTTAAAACATTCAGGCGATTCAGATGTCGCTCACAGATAACACCTGTGATATACGGGTATCCTGGTTTTCCAGCTGCGCATGTATCTGCGACGACAACTCCGATGATATTTGAGAAGACAGTTGTGAAATCTGCGACAATATTTATGACATTGCAGTCATCAACATATTTATGTCTAAACCTGTTGATGAACCTGGAGCCTTTGCCTTACCTTCCACTTTAGTCGATAACTCCTCGATTTCTAGCTGGAACACATATTCACCCACACTGACGCCTTCTGCCTCCATAGCCTCGCGAAGTCGTCCCTGCAGCTTTGCTTTGTTTCCAGCAGCTGATAAGCCTCGCTGTTCCAACTCCCTTCTTAAGTTGCGGAATCTTAAGTTCATTAAATTTCGTAATTTTCAAGATCTTGTGTTATGAAACTTTATTCGACAATCCCACTTCTGACACCAATTGTAATGCCCTTCTCAAATTTCCTTGAATGTGAGTTCGATCACTGAATTGTCGAATAAAGCTCGTCAACCAATTTATGTTTTTTTTTAATCCAAAATCTAACTATACAAAAATTTTAAGTTTTTTTTTTGAAAATTCAATATTATCTATGAACACTAAATTAACCAAATAAAATAAAAACAAGTATGAAAAGTAGCAGGTGCAATAACTCTACAAGTATCTAGTGATATCGCGGTTTTTCAGCATTTGTCACAGTATAAAGGTTCGCCGGCCCTGTTATACACTGTACAAATTGTAGTGACTATTTGTTACTATGGTAGGTAGGTAGGTAGATGTGGCTGCCACTGCTGCGCAGGGACACATAGGCCACGTTGTGATACCATGACTAAGAGTTTTCACTCCAAATTTGTCAAAGTCACTAAAGAAAGGAGACCTTAGAAAGCGCAGTCTGCTTCTCGATAATGCCGGGCATTTACAGAGAAGGTGAAGAACTTCCTCCTCCTCCTCATAATTCTTGCAACTTCTGCAGCATCTATGGTAAGGCTCTCCGAGTCGTTCTGCATGTCCGCCTATAAGGCGAGAACCGATTGTATGAGATATATCCTCCCCCTTTAGAGAGTATAAGCTCGAGACCTTTTTCGATCCCACCTAGACCAAGTTTGCCTAGAAATTCGACAGGTCGTAGTTTGCATCGAACTCTCGCTCGCGCGAGCATAGATAAATTCACTTAAAAGCAGCTTGCAAGTGGCGAAGGGCATACCAATGCGTTCTTTATTCAGAAGAATCTGCTTGGTCGTAGCTGAGACCTCAGCCTGGAAGACAGTACAGTTGTTCGGTAGTCGAAATGAATGGCTTAGGGCAGGGCTTCGGGAAAAGAACACCCTTCCTCTCCCCGCTCATTTTTGAACCGTCTGTGAAAATTGCTATACTACCGGGTGGAGTATAGAAGTTTTCTTCCCATTCCTCCCTGCTTGGGATTTTCATGACGAAGTTTCTATCCGCAACCAGAGTTTCTACACAACGGTCTGTACAGCCCGGTAGAAAGCTATATATGTTAGACTGCATCACCAAAAAAAGTTGCGATTTTCCCGCCCGGATTATAAAATCTATTATATTTTAAGACGTCCACCAAAATATTTCGGAAAAATATTAAGATTTAAGCGAGCTGGACCGATTTGAAAATACCTCCAAAAATGAAGTTTTTTATGAATAAAAATAGTTTCTTAAAGAACTTTTTGATAAAAGTCCCCTCAGATGACAAATTAGATTAAGCTTAAAAAATCTGCATAAAAATATTTAAAAATCTTTTAACGGAATCGTAAGAATGAGATTTTTGATGCTGTTCTTTTACCTTTTTCAAAGATTGGTTTACGAAAAACTTGAATAACTGTGCCAAAAATGTTCTGATGTAGACTTATGGGATCTCAGTAGAAAGGTATTTTCACACTGTTTTTATTTCTGGCCAAAAAAACGACATTCGTGTCCCATCTTGTTTTTTCGAATACCAACACAACTTAATTCAACTTTGAATGACGTTCGTTCTCCTACCTTTCTCTTCCATCCTTTGAATGAGTTTATTAGCAAGGAAATAAAAAGGGTGAGAAAATACCTTTCCAATGACACCTCTTAAGTCTAAATCGGAAGACTTTAGGTTCAGTTATTCAAGCTTAAAGCTTTGTATCGCCCAAGCAATCCTCTCCTTTGTGACAGACATGATTACTACCCCGCCCGAAGGAAGGTGCAAAGAGCCCCTGTTTGCGAACTTTCTGGGAAATGTGTGTCTAAGAGCAGTCCCGTCGGGGTCCAGGAACCATCGGGCTTCTGCAGAAACCCGATCTGGTTTGAGGATCTCGACAGTATTTTTCTTAATCTGGAAGTCTCGGAATTACCCTCGACACTACTACAGAAATCCCTCCAGGAAGATCTCTTGGCCCCCCGCAAAGCCTTCTTGTACTCACGCAAAAACTGCTTATATTTTTGCCACCCAGATTCGTGACTCAGTCTTCTTGCCTTGTTGAACTGCACCCTGCAGGCTTTCCGGCGTGCGTCCAACTCTCGAGACCACCAGTGGGGTTTTCGCTTTCCCCTAGGTCTAGGGTCAGGACAAGAATAAGCCATGGCCTTTGAGCAAATCCGAGTAAAAGAGTTAACCATGTTCTCCAACTCACCAGTGGTGCTGTGCTCACTAGGTGCCGGATATGGTAACTTACATTCCACAGTGTCTTTGTAGATTTCCCAATCTGTATTCCTTAGGTTCTTTCGATCCTGCGAAGCAGTTATATAAAAATCCAGAATCGTCTCAATATATCTATGGTGGGAAAAATAGTGTTCGTTCGGAACTCTTCAGCTTTTAACCATATCAAAAAGATTGCCGTTATATAGCGTGAGGTCTATGACCTCCTCACGGATTTTCACAAGAAAAGTAGGTTCTGAACCCCTATTACATATCATGAGTTTAGTTGTTAAAAGGTAGTTAAAAAGAGACCTACCTCGATTGTTACTATACACAACTCATATTTCATAAATGATGACACAGCGTAAATGTTAGAGCTGTTTTTGATGCACTTTTTTGCTGATAACAAATCCGTAGGTAAAGAGTTTCCATCAGCTTCAGATTTCGAGAAAATCGAGGTCAAAGTGTCGAAAAATTGCGCACTATTTAAGAAGCTCTAGTAAAGAAACAAAAGGTGATCAAAGCTAAAACTCTCGACTACTTTCTTTGAAAATACCATAAATTTTTTCATAAATAACCTTTTCAAAGAAACGCATAACTAATGCTAAGGAAATTTATATTGTTTAGAAAGTACAAGTTATTACCTTTAATTTGATATACATATATAGAACACCTTTCTGCGTAGGCGGCCTTCGGTCGCGCTTATGGATTATAACCCTCACTAAGTAGAATTCTCCTTTTCTGTGTTGCCGAAGTAGAGGGGCTGAACACCTTTTGCACAGAACACCTTTCTGCGTATGCGGCCTTTGGCCGCCCATAGGGATTATAACCCCCACTAAGTAGAAGTCTCCTTTCTGTGTAGCCGAAGAAGAGGGGCTGAACACCTTTTGTAAAGAACACTTTTCTGCGTAGGCGGCCTTCGGCCACGCTTAGGGATTATAATCCTAACTAAGTAGGATTTTCCTTTCAGTGTTGCCGAAGAGGAGGGTCGCGGAACGCCTTTTGCAGATACAGTATATTTTGCTTAGCCGCCCATCCTTCTTTGCACCAAAAACTTGTGCGCTTAACCGAAAAAATCAGATAAGCGAATTTTCTTTATCACTTCATTAAGGAAGGTATCCGAATCCCTATGAAACCAAATAATAGAGGAGCACTTACCACGTAGAAATTACTGCAAGCCAAATTTTTTTCCGAATGTTATCTATATAACTTACAGAAAAGATAGAAGTTTTCGTTGCTCTGCGAGATGAGAAAAAAAATAAATACTTGTAAAATTAGGGTAAGTGTAAAGTCTGTGACGTTTACCTTCACTTATACTTTCTTTGATAATTGATAATAGTTGTACAATTTTTAAGGCAGGTATCGCTAATGTACAGGTATGTTGAATGCATCTATCGGAGCAGTTTCCTTATATTAAAAAATAATGCCGCTTATGAGTATTTTGTGGTAGGTACCTTAAATGTGCACTTAAGCATAAAGGCAGCAAAGCAAAATATACTGTTACACCTTTCTTTGGGGGATTGTAGGTGTTTCGTACAAATTTTGAGCTTTTTTTTAAGATTCTAAAAAATCAACCGTAACTTTTAGCCATTTGTAACTTAAACTTTATTCTACTAGAATTCAATGGGCTACAAAACTGCATTTTCAGAGTTTAATTAAAGATTCGAAATTTTTACGAAATTTCGTTGAATTTTTTTAATTGCATAAATTTTTAAGGCAGTGTCACTCGATTGGTACATTTGTACAGATTTGTGCAGCATTATATTGGGCTATTTAAATTGGGATTTTTTTTTGTATTCAAAAGCTTGGCACAATACAGCAATCTTGTATTAAAAAATTAAAAAAAAATTATCTTTCGTGATTGAGATAAGGAAAAATTTTTGGGTATTCACCCAATTGGGATACCATATGCACTAAATTTCGGCAAATTCCCAATCGTGTAACACCGCCTTTAAACTTGTATTTATATGGATGTTGGTAAAGAATGAACTATAAAAAATAACCAAAATTAAATAACAAAAATAACATTTTAAAACTTTTCAAAATTTGGTGCGGCTATAATTTTTTCGACTACTGTACATAAGTTGATTATGATTACTCGGCCATAAGTTGACTATGATTACTCGGCGTGCTATCACAGTAGCACAATGCCACTAATATTTGACTTACAAACAAAATACAGGCAGGATTTCAACGCTGTCTGAGTAAAATATTTAATTTTTATCAGTATTTTTCTTTTAATCAATCTATGTTGAAATAAAAGTGAAAATAAAAAAAATATTTTGTCAGAATGCATGTACAAATGAGGCTACACTTTGTTTATTTTCTCTGCAAAATACAAAATACAAAATACAAAATAGTTGTTTTACCATATTAAAATGCAATGCAGTTTAACGATATCAAGAAGCCGTTAAAAATTTGAAAGATTTTAGGTTTTTTAACTTTCTGAAAACGGTGACCCTTTTATAAGGATTCTTAAATCTGTCGTGTTATATATTGGACCCACTGTATGTATGCTGAATTCCCAATGTGGTCAAAAATGCATTGAACTCATTTGCTTTGAATTGTGTGCCATTATTGCTACCGATGACTTCTTGGAACACCAAAGCAATGGTAAACGGACTTCAATATAAAGACTTGTATCAAACCAAATTTAAATTTCTTGAACGGCTATAGCCAGGCCAATATTGCCTTTCTTGCTTCTGGGATACAGACCTCAAATATCTACATATAAACGCTGAAACGAACGGCATGTTTCCACTTGTTTTCCCCATTGGTGGTGACAAAGTGATAATTGGTGGCTTTAAACACTTCACAGTTTTTCTCTTGCATATTCTCTGACATCCTTTGCTAATACTGGTCAGTAGAAATTTCTCCGGATTCATTTTAAGGGTTCAAATATAGTACATCTGCCCGAAATGGTTTTGGTATCCAATGTTTCGCTTAACGATTTTCTTGTTCTGCTTCCCTAGTTGCTTGTTCAGTGCGGCGATACACAAACCTATCGATTACTTTGACATTTGGTAATTTGCTTTGATCTTTCAATACATTGCCACCACTAGGACAAACTATCGATGACATGAATGCAATCGACTTCACTGCGCCACTGTCATCTCACTCAACCAACGCCTTTTCCGTAGCCACTATATACACACTAAACCATTTTTGGCAAATTTACGTCGATAATGGTAGAGGTAACATATTACCGACTATAAATGCCTAAAATTACACAACTATTATTTTAAACATCTTTTGTAGAATTTTACGCAATAAATGTTCAAAAGTTTAGACACCAGATGCCTAATAGTTTATACACTAGATGTTCATATTTACACACTAAGTGCTTATACATAGGTGCTTAGTTGTCCGTAGATAATAGGCAGAATCTAGTTTAATTCTCTCTTCAATTAAAATATTTATTTATTTCATTTATAATACTTACAGCAGCGGTCAAAATAATAGCAGTAAAATTAAAAATTTATATTGTTTAATATTTTAAATAAGAAGTCTGTAATTTTGAGGAAAATTTTTTGAAGTTTCATTCATTTTTGTGAACTTTGTGAAATTTTTATTTCTGTGGTTTCTGTTATTGATCGAACTATATTTTAAAGCAAAATTATTAAAAATAAGTTAATAAACAGGAGTTTCAAACAACATCATTTCGAATTTTGCTGCTATTATTTTGACCGCTGCTGTATGTATGTATATAAAAAGCTTAAATTTAATTTACATATGTGTGTCCTTCAATTTTTAGCATTAAGGTATTTATTTTTCTTAAATTAATATGATTTTTTGCCTGTTTAAAAGTAATCTCTGTTTCAAAAAAAATATACGATATATTTTGAAGAGCGTCTTTTGGAGATGTAAATTTAATTTACGTATGTGTGTTCATCAATTCTTCGCATTAACGTATTTACTTTTCTTAAATTATTAATATGGTAATTAGGGTAAGTGTAAAGTCTGTGACGTTTACCTTCACTTATACTTTCTTTGATAATTGATAATAGTTGTACAATTTTTAAGGCAGGTATCGCTAATGTGCAGGTATGTTGAATGCATCTATCGGAGCAGTTTCCTTATATTAAAAAATAATGCCGCTGATGAGAATTTTGTGGTAGGTACCTTAAATGTGCACTTAAGCATAAAGGCAGCAAAGCAAAATATACTGTTACACCTTTCTTTGGGGGATTGTAGGTGTTTCGTACAAATTTTGAGCTTTTTTTTAAGATTCTAAAAAATCAACCGTAACTTTTAGCCATTTGTAACTTGTACTTTATTCTACTAGAATTCAATGGGCTACAAAACTGCATACTCAGAGTTTAATTAAAGATTCGAAATTTTTACGAAAATTCGTTGAATTTTTTTAATTGCGTAAATTTTTAAGGCAGTGTCACTCGATTGGTACATTTGTACAGATTTGTGCAGCATTATATTGGGCTATTTAAATTGGGATTTTTTTTTGTATTCAAAAGCTTGGCACAATACAGCAATCTTGTATTAAAAAATTAAAAAAAAATTATCTTTCGTGATTGAGATAAGGAAAAATTTTTGGGTATTCACCCAATTGGGATACTATATGCACTAAATTTCGGCAAATTCCCAATCGTGTAACACCGCCTTTAAACTTGTATTTATATGGATGTTGGTAAAGAATNTTTTATATTGATGTTGGTAAAGAATGAACTATAAAAAATAACCAAAATTAAATAACAA